TCTCTTTTGTGGAGACACTTTTTCTATAGAAAAAGTCTCTTTTGTGGAGACACTTTTTCTATAGAAAAAGTCTCTTTTGTGGAGAAACTTTTTCTATAGAAAAAGTCTCTTTTGTGGAGACACTTTTTCTATAGAAAAAGTCTCTTTTGTGGAGACACTTTTTCAATAGAAAAAATCACTTTACTAGAGACACATTTTCTATAGAAGAAGTCTCTTTTGTGAAGAAACTGTTTCTATAGCAAAAGTCTTTTTAGTAGAGACACTTTTTCTATAGAAAAAGTTGCTTCTATTGAAAAAGTCTCTTTTGTGGAGACACTTTTTCTATTGAAAAAGTCTCTTTTGTGGAGACACTTTTTCTATAGAAAAAGTCTCTTTTGTGGAGGCACTTTTCCTATAAAAAAAGTCTCTTTTGTGGAGACACTTTTTCTATTGAAAAAGTCTCTTTTGTGGAGACACTTTTTCTATAGAAAAAGTCTCTTTTGTGGAGACACTTTTTCTATAGAAAAAGTCTCTTTTGTGGAGACACTTTTTCTATAGAAAAAGTCTCTTTTGTGGAGACACTTTTTCTATAGAAAAAGTCTCTTTTGTGGAGACACTTTTTCTATAGAAAAAGTCTCTTTTGTGGAGACACTTTTTCTATAGAAAAGTCTCTTTTGTGGGGACACTTTTTTAATAGAAAAAATCACTTTACTAGAGACACATTTTCTATAGAAGAAGTCTCTTTTGTGAAGAAACTGTTTCTATAGCAAAAGTCTTTTTAGTACAGACACTTTTTCTATAGAAAAAGTTGCTTTATTAGAGACACTGTTTCTGTAGAAAAAGTCTCTTTTATTAGAGACACTTTTTCTATTGAAAAAGTCTCTTTATTAGAGTCACTTTTTCTATAGATAAAATCCCTTTATTTCTATAGAAAGAAAGTAATATCAGATTAGTCGTAGGTTTTTATTTTCAAATCCATTTTTGTTATATCAAAACCCAACATTTTCCCACAAATTATATCCTTTTGTTTCCACAACACTTAAATCTTTATTGTTGTCTAATTTATTAACTTGTTGTCTTTACAGAAAGGACTTGGCCAAAATTACAAATCTTTTATTGGTTTTTAATTCAAAAATTTCCCAGACTATAAAATCCTAAATCGAATAAACAATATATTGTCCTTTTTCTATGGTAAAATGATTTTTTACAAATTTTTGTTTTCTTTCTATAAAACCCGTCATTAGTTTAGTATATCGATCTTTTATTTCAGTAAAACTATATTGATTTCAAATTGTTTTCCCAACCAACTAGACACAGGTTTTATAGACATCAGCATCCCCATTATGTTATTTAATATTTAGGATTTGTCTTCTAGATAGTGTTTTTCAATAGTGTTGTTTATTAGTATTGAATTTACTCCACTTTTTTGTTTATTGTTTCTGACATTAACCCAAACAAATCCCATAAAACATGACTTAACATTTTAAGTCTTGTTTTCAAGATTTGTTTGGGTATTTTGGAGTAGACAGACAGACAAACCAAACGAGAAAGATCCTTTAAGGCGTCAGCATAATGACAATGTTGATGGATGTAATGATGTGTAAAAGGCACGAAAAATGACGAATTACGAGAAACAGTGATGAGTGGAGATGAAAACTCCTTTTTTTTTCAAACAACAAAAATTTCAAATTTTAAAACATTTCCCGCAGTAACTGTTGACTTTTGGCAAAAATCTAGAAATTCTAATAAAATTTTGTGAAAAAAAGATTCCTAAAAATAATTTCAAATTTCCAATTTTCAAATTGGCTATTCTGATTTTCCCTAATGGCCTAACTAATGACACATAAATGATTTTATTTATAATTTCCCTACAATTATACCTTTATGACAGGAAAACTGGAAGTGGAAATCACTGATCATGTACTAAGTAAGATCCTGTAAATTTAACAGGAAGATTTCCCACAGGTACCTGGGTTTATAGGTAAAATCCCCATAATATAAAATTTCCAAATCAGGGGAAATTTCAATGGGAATTTTTTTAGCAATTATATTTGCAAAAAAAGGTCAAAAGTCAATTTTGTTGTGGGTTTTCAATTTGTGACTTAAAGGAAATTTTCCATAAGAAAAATTCTTTCTTATGGAGTTGCCTATTCTACAAAGAAGACACTTTTTCTATAGAAAAAGACACTCTTTCTGTAGAAAAAATCTTTAAAGATACACTATTCCATAGAAGTGAATTGGAACTCAACTAGACTTGAACTAGAACGGTACTAGAACTAAACTAGAACTGTACTAGAACTGAACTAGAACTGAACTAGAACTGAACTAGAACTGAGCTAGAACTGAACTAGAACTGAACTAGAACTGAACTAGAACTGAACTAGAACTGAACTAGAACTGAACTAGAACTGAACTAGAACTGAACTAGAACTGAACTAGAACTAAACTAGAACTGAACTAACTAGAACTGAACTAGAACTGAACTAGAAACTGAACTGAACTAGAACTGAACTAGAACTGAACTAGAACTGAACTAGAACTGAACTAGAACTGAACTAGAACTGAACTAGAACTGAACTAGAACTGAACTAGAACTGAACTAGAACTGAACTAGAACTGAACTAGAACTGAACTAGAACTGAACTAGAACTGAACTAGAACTGAACTAGAACTGAACTAGAACTGAACTAGAACTGAACTAGAACTGAACTAGAACTGAACTAGAACTGAACTAGAACTGAACTAGAACTGAACTAGAACTGAACTAGAACTGAACTAGAACTGAACTAGAACTGAACTAGAACTGAACTAGAACTGAACTAGAACTGAACTAGAACTGAACTAGAACTGAACTAGAACTGAACTAGAACTGAACTAGAACTGAACTAGAACTGAACTAGAACTGAACTAGAACTGAACTAGAACTGAACTAGAACTGAACTAGAACTGAACTAGAACTGAACTAGAACTGAACTAGAACTGAACTAGAACTGAACTAGAACTGAACTAGAACTGAACTAGAACTGAACTAGAACTGAACTAGAACTGAACTAGAACTGAACTAGAACTGAACTAGAACTGAACTAGAACTGAACTAGAACTGAACTAGAACTGAACTAGAACTGAACTAGAACTGAACTAGAATGAACTAGAACTGAACTAGAACTGAACTAACTAGAACTGAACTAGAACTGAACTAGAACTGAACTAGAAACTGAACTAGAACTGAACTAGAACTGAACTAGAACTGAACTAGAACTGAACTAGAACTGAACTAGAACTGAACTAGAACTGAACTAGAACTGAACTAGAACTGAACTAGAACTGAACTAGAACTGAACTAGAACTGAACTAGAACTGAACTAGAACTGAACTAGAACTGAACTAGAACTGAACTAGAACTGAACTAGAACTGAACTAGAACTGAACTAGAACTGAACTAGAACTGAACTAGAACTGAACTAGAACTGAACTAGAACTGAACTAGAACTGAACTAGAACTGAATAGAACTGACTAGAACTGAACTAGAACTGAACTAGAACTGAACTAACTAGAACTGAACTAGAACTGAACTAGAACTGAACTAGAACTGACTAGAACTGAACTAGAAACTGAACTAGAACTGAACTAGAACTGAACTAGAACTGAACTAGAACTGAACTAGAACTGAACTAGAACTGAACTAGAACTGAACTAGAACTGAACTAAACTGAACTAGAATGAACTAGAACTGAACTAGAACTGAACTAGAACTGAACTAGACTGCACCTAAGAACTGAACTAGAACGAACTAGAACTGAACTAGAACTTGAACTAGAACTGAACTAGAACTGAACTAGAACTGAACTAGAACGAACTAGAACTGAACTAGAACTGAACTAGAACATGAACTAGAACTGAACTAGAACTGAACTAGAACTGAACTAGAACTGAACTAGAACTGAACTAGAACTGAACTAGAACTGACACTAGAACTGAACTAGAACTGAACTAGAACTGAACTAGAACTGAACTAGAAATGAACTAGAACTTGAACTGAACTGAACTAGAACTGAACTAGAACTGAACTAGAACTGAACTAGAACTGAACTAGAACTGAACTAGAACTGAACTGAACTGAACTGAACTAGAACTGAACTAGAACTGAACTAGAACTGAACTAGAACTGAACTAGAACTGAACTAGAACTGAACTAGAACTGAACTAGAACTGAACTAGAACTGAACTAGAACTGAATTAGAACTGAACTAGAACTGAACTAGAACTTAACTAGAACTGAACTAGAACTGAACTAGAACTGTATTAGAATTGAACTAGAACTGAACTTTTTTCTATAGAAAAATTGTTTCTGTTAAGCTGATTATTTCTATATAAAAAATGTGTTTGTTATAAAAAATTTCTTTTCTTATTTTTAAATATTTATTTTTTTTTTTAAATTTTGTAAAAAAACCTGTAAAGAATTTTAAATAAAACACAAAATTTTTTATATTTTTAAATTTTTTTTATATTTTTCTTAATTTTTTTCTTAAGTCTATATACAATTATTTAGTTTTAAAACAATTTTTTTAAGTTAATAAAAAAAGCTAAAACAATATTTTCTGAATTTTTCTAATAAATCTTAAACAATTTTTTAATTTTAAAAAAAATGTTAAAATTTTTTTAAATATTTTTTTTAAATAACAAGCATTTTTTCAGTTAGAAAAAAAGTAGTTTTAAAAAATTTACTTTTAATAAAACTTTCATAATAAAAAACTAACAACTTTTTTGTATAAAAATAAAAGTTGAGCTTTATCAAAAAGCTTTAAACCCGTATGAAATGAGCTGTTAGCCATTGAAGCTTTTCCCATTGAAGTGATATTTTCTAAGTGCCAAAGGCAGAGTCGAAGTAGCCAGACTAAGCCATTTGAAGAAAATTTCCTTGTGAGTAACAAAAAAGCCAAGGAGCTGCTGCTGATGTTGAGTATTAGAAGAAAACCCCAAATGAGTGATGATTAAACCCAAAAATCTTAAGATTCAAGATTGTTATAGAAGAATCTAAGCTTGAGCCCATCTATCCAAGAAGTTCCATTCAATTTGATAGGGTTCTACGGTTTCCTTTTGCACTGAAGTCCAAAAGAATGTACCAGCATTGGTGCGAGCAAAGTGAACAGGAACATAAAGATCATCTTTATCAATGAATTCCAATTGGCGGGAACCATCTTCATTGATGACCACAATAGCTTCACCAGATTCACTGTGTTGTAATTCTTCCATAAGACGATTTTCCAAATGTTCATTAGCCATATTGTCCATATCATTGTTAAGCCAATCGAATTCACTTTCCTTTTCCTCGGAAGCAATATAAGAGCTGCGCTTGGGTTTGTGGGTCTTAGATTTGAAGATACGACCCAAAACTGGTTTCAGCATATTCTTAAGACGGCGTGAAGGAGATACTTTGGACTTGTAGATGGTATAGGTTTGGTTCTTGTAAGAAGTGTTGTTGTTGTACATGGTGTTGCTAATGTTGTTGGAGTTCATGTTGATAAATATTCCAAAAATAGATATAATGTGTGTGTGTGTGTTTTAAAGAAGAGATGTTGTTTGTTTGATTGCTAGTGAGCGAATGATGCTGTCTTCCTTGTCGATCGATCTATTTATACTCTCTCTTCGTGAGAACCCAAGAACTTGTGTGTGCGCTCTTTTGTTCTTCTTAACAGCCACAGGCAGCATCTCAACCAATCAGGGACGTGTTTTAAGGGCAGGTGTTCGTTTTTAAAATTTCTCACGTTCACTAGATTCTTAATTTTCTTACTTGCCACAAAAATCTTTTCTTGATTCTTAGGCTCTTTTGTTGTTTTAAGGTAACAGAAATAAGAAAAGAGTAACAGCAGGTACTTCTTTTTTAATAGAAGGTGTACTATGTGAGTGTTTGTACCTTTCTGAGCGTAAGAATCTTTTTTTTCCTCAGTTTTGTTTTTCGAAAATTATAGAGAACATGTCTTTAAAGATCCTTAAGGGATTTAAATCATTATTTTTGCTTAAGCGAATTGTTGCTGCTCAGGTTTTCTTATTATCCTGGCAGCAACAACAACTCTAAAGAAAATTTAACCTGAGAATCATGATCATCTTCATGATCACGTTCATTTGTAAACTGAAATGTTTTTCAAAGCGTGGGAATCCTAAAAATATTTTTGTAAAATTTCTACAAAAAATTGTTTTCATTTCGTTCAAATTATTGTTGTTGTTGTTATATTTAAGAAAAAAATCCTTGTTTATGTAAATTGATATCCTTCAACATATGTTATTGTTTGGTTTAGCTAGATCCTTGATATTTTGTTATCATTATAAGGTTTCCTATCAGTATTTTTACTCCAGAAAAAAAACAACAAAACACAAAACATGTTGTTTCTTGTTTTTTTCTCTAGAGCGTTAAAAAAAGTGTTAAACCACATTATGTATAAAAAAAAAGAAATTTCATGGGGAGTCTTTTACAAATCAAAAAAATACATTCATTCACAGTTTTGTCAACAAATTTTCGCTTTTAAGTGGCTGCAGCCAAGATGCTGCTGGCACCAGCATAATGTTGCGTGGATCAGCAGACGACGGCCTTTAAGAAGTAAGTCAAGGTTACGGTAGCCTGCAGTAGCTCAAGTGGCGGTTTCTATACAATATTTTGTTTGTATTTTTGAAATTCATATTTTTTGGCATTAATTTATTCATAATTTACAAGCATAACGCTGCTTATAAGACTTTAGCAGAGGGTTGGCTGCCTTTAACAAAAGATTCAGTTCAAATAGAAATGTCATTCGGCCTGTCATCACTGCTTATAATTTGGCTGATGGCAAAGCATGCTGCGCAAAGCATTAAAGGCGTCATGATTACCAAATGCTGGCTCCATTAGGATTTATAGAAATCTCTCAAAATAAATCATAAATAATACCTAAGCATCAAATTTCTCGAACAAGTTCAGTTCAGTTCTAGTTCAGTTCTAGTTCAGTTCTAGTTCAGTTCTAGTTCAGTTCTAATTCAGTTCTAGTTCAGTTCTAGTTCAGTTCTAGTTCAGTTCTAGTTCAGTTCTAGTTCACTTCTAGTTCAGTTCTAGTTCAGTTCTAGTTCAGTTCTAGTTCCGTTCTAGTTCAGTTCTAGTTCAGTTCTAGTTCAGTTCTAGTTCAGTTCTAGTTCAGTTCTAGTTCAGTTCTAGTTCAGTTTAGTTCAGTTCTAGTTCAGTTCTAGTTCAGTTCTAGTTCAGTTCTAGTTCAGTTCTAGTTCAGTTCTAGTTCAGTTCTAGTTCAGTTCTAGTTCAGTTCTAGTTCAGTTCTAGTTCAGTTCTAGTTCAGTTCTAGTTCAGTTCTAGTTCAGTTCTAGTTCAGTTCTAGTTCAGTTCTAGTTCAGTTCTAGTTCAGTTCTAGTTCAGTTCTAGTTCAGTTCTAGTTCAGTTCTAGTTCAGTTCTAGTTCAGTTCTAGTTCAGTTCTAGTTCAGTTCTAGTTCAGTTCTAGTTCAGTTCTAGTTCAGTTCTAGTTCAGTTCTAGTTCAGTTCTAGTTCAGTTCTAGTTCAGTTCTAGTTCAGTTCTAGTTCAGTTCTAGTTCAGTTCTAGTTCAGTTCTAGTTCAGTTCTAGTTCAGTTCTAGTTCAGTTCTAGTTCAGTTCTAGTTCAGTTCTAGTTCAGTTCTAGTTCAGTTCTAGTTCAGTTCTAGTTCAGTTCTAGTTCAGTTCTAGTTCAGTTCTAGTTCAGTTCTAGTTCAGTTCTAGTTCAGTTCTAGTTCAGTTCTAGTTCAGTTCTAGTTCAGTTCTAGTTCAGTTCTAGTTCAGTTCTAGTTCAGTTCTAGTTCAGTTCTAGTTCAGTTCTAGTTCAGTTCTAGTTCAGTTCTAGTTCAGTTCTAGTTCAGTTCTAGTTCAGTTCTAGTTCAGTTCTAGTTCAGTTCTAGTTCAGTTCTAGTTCAGTTCTAGTTCAGTTCTAGTTCAGTTCTAGTTCAGTCTAGTTCAGTTCTAGTTCAGTTCTAGTTCAGTTCTAGTTCAGTTCTAGTTCAGTTCTAGTTCAGTTCTAGTTCAGTTCTAGTTCAGTTCTAGTTCAGTTCTAGTTCAGTTCTAGTTCAGTTCTAGTTCAGTTCTAGTTCAGTTCTAGTTCAGTTCTAGTTCAGTTCTAGTTCAGTTCTAGTTCAGTTCTAGTTCAGTTCTAGTTCAGTTCTAGTTCAGTTCTAGTTCAGTTCTAGTCAGTTCTAGTTCAGTTCTAGTTCAGTTCTAGTTCAGTTCTAGTTCAGTTCTAGTTCAGTTCTAGTTCAGTTCTAGTTCAGTTCTAGTTCAGTTCTAGTTCAGTTCTAGTTCAGTTCTAGTTCAGTTCTAGTTCAGTTCTAGTTCAGTTCTAATTCAGTTCTAGTTCAGTTTAAGGTTCGTATTTTAATGAAGTATTTATGGGTTTTAGACATTAAATCAATTATGTTGCCATTAGTTTGATAAAAATGTTTCTTAAATAAATTAATGGTTTTTATTTCTATCACAAAGCACTAAAATTGTTTATTAACATTTTTAGTTCTATTCAATTTTATGATTTTATTCAAATTTCGATTTTCAAATAAAATTTTCTTTTTCATAAAAGAAAAAAAAAACGTTACTTCTTTTCTCCAACCTCAATTCAAATTAATTCCAAGAAATTTCAATAAAAAAATCAATCAAAATATACGTTACATTTTTTGTATTCTATAAGATTTCTTAACAAAATTCCTAGAAACAATTTAATATGAAACCATAACTAATTTACAATTTCTTTTGTTACTTTTTTATACAAAAAAAAAATGAAAAAGAAGTCCAAAGAGTAATTTACTACCAAAAATCACTATCTTAGGCTGTACTAATCACGGTTACTACCTTATTTTCGTTATTTAAACGTTAAAAACAATGACTTTACACTTGTTTTTCTTTTAAAACTCGTATTTTAAATCCCTACCTTTGTAGATAAAACGAACATAATACGAATCTTTAAAGCACACGTGTTCAATAAAACTCCTCCTAGACAAATACAAGAAAATGTTTTTCAAATAACAGAGATAGAAAAACATTTAAACTCTGTTTGACTTCTATAGATTTTCTTTTAAGAGTCTTTTCCCGCCAAATTTATTTATGTGTCGTTCTCTCTGGGGTTGCACTTGTTGCTGTGTTGTGTTTGATGTTTATTTGGTTGTGAAAAATCACGAAACAACAAAAAGCAATCAGGAAAAATCACTTTAAAGACCTTCACAACTTGTTGTGATTTTTAGGATGATTCTAACAAGTTTTTCTTTTCATTAGTTTCTAACAATACGTGATTTTTATGTGTTTTTATAGGTTTTATTTATCTTATTGTTTCGGAAAATTTTTCTAACATAAATATTTAATGTTGTCAAAGATTTTACAATTTTCACTTGTTTGTTAAGATTTTTAACATGCTAAAGATTCGTAACACTGTCGGAGATAATGTTGGGGAAATACCTAAGGGATTTGATTTTAAAAATAATTTGAATGTTTATGTTAAAATTTGGAAAATTCAGTGATAAGAAAAACCTTTTAAAGTGTTATCGTAAATTATATTGTGCGATAATGCTAACCAATACAAACTAATTTCAAAAAGTCTAAAAGAACAAGAACAAGAGACTTTTTACCTTGAAAATGATAAGGTTTCCTATTTAAGACATCTCTCTAGAAAATATACTCTGCTCTAGAACTGAACTAGAACTGAACTAGAACTGAACTAGAACTGAACTAGAACTGAACTAGAACTGAACTAGAACTGAACTAGAACTGAACTAGAACTGAACTAGAACTGAACTAGAACTGAACTAGAACTGAACTAGAACTGAACTAGAACTGAACTAGAACTGAACTAGAACTGAACTAGAACTGAACTAGAAATGAACTAGAAATGAACTAGAACTGAACTAGAACTGAACTAGAACTGAACTAGAACTGAACTAGAACTGAACTAGAACTGAACTAGAACTGAACTAGAACTGAACTAGAACTGAACTAGAACTGAACTAGAACTGAACTAGAACTGAACTAGAACTAAACTAGAACTGAACTAGAACTGAACTAGAACTGAACTAGAACTGAACTAGAACTAGAACTGAACTAGAACTGAACTAGAACTGAACTAGAACTGAACTAGACTAGAACTGAACTAGAAATGAACTAGAACTGAACTAGAACTGAACTAGAACTGAACTAGAACTGAACTAGAACTGAACTAGAACTGAACTAGAACTGAACTAGAACTGAACTAGAACTGAACTAGAACTGAACTAGAACTGAACTAGAACTGAACTAGAACTGAACTAGAACTGAACTAGAACTGAACTAGAACTGAACTAGAACTGAACTAGAACTGAACTAGAACTGAACTAGAACTAAACTAGAACTGAACTAGAACTGAACTAGAACTGAACTAGAACTGAACTAGAACTGAACTAGAACTGAACTAGAACTGAACTAGAACTGAACTAGAACTGAACTAGAACTGAACTAGAACTGAACTAGAACTGAACTAGAACTGAACTAGAACTGAACTAGAACTGAACTAGAACTGAACTAGAACTGAACTAGAACTGAATTAGAACTGAACTATAGAAAAGTCTCTGT